TTTGCGGTACGCGGGCCCCTCACTGTTGTGGCCTCTCCCGTTGCGGAGCACAGGCTCCGGACGCGCAGGCTCAGCGGCCATGGCTCACGGGCCCACCCACTCCACGGCATGTGGGATCTTCCCGGACCGGGGCACGAACCCGTGTCCCCTGCATCGGCAGGCGGACTCCCAACCACTGTGCCACTGGGGAAGCCCTGAATACCTATTTTTAAGAAGCTTATAAACTAGTCAGGAAAAATGGACATGGCTGAAAATAATTATAACACAACACATAAACTAGTAAGTTCCCCATGAAAAGTATAGATGAAGTGTTATGGAAGCTCAGAATAGAGAAGCTGGAGGAGTCCGGGGCAGGGGACAGTCCTGAGTGGGTCCACAAGATTTAAAGAAGCCAAAATGGGGTGGCAGGCAGCAGGAGGTGGCAGTACAGCCTGAGAAACTGAGGAGAGAAACCAGTGTGGACCTTCACTTGCCAGAGTTAATGGCCAGACCAGGGAGTCTGTGAATGGAGCCGTGGGCCAGAGGGCTGGGAAGGTGGGTCCGGGCCCCAGCTGGAGGGCCTGGAGTAGCAGGGTCAGGGTCTCAGACTTTATTTTGTAGGCGGTGGGAAGCCGCTGGTTATTTGTGAGTAGTCTAGTGCCAGGACCAGAACCAAGCGTTTGGGGAGTCATCAGTGTGGGCATCAGCTGAGTTCTCCGTGTTGTGCAGGAGTTTAGCCCTGGTCAGCCTCCTTTTCCTTTCTCCACAGTGTTTGCTCTACTCTCTTCAAACCTTCTATCCTTTACTCTCAGCTGATGCTATTATGCCTGCTTCACAGAAATCATCCTCTTCCAAGCTCTCCAAGCAAATTAGCCCCGCTCCTTGGCACCTCTCCTGTCTCCATATCAGTATACACGCTCCTTTCTCACACTTATCTCTCTACATCTGTACTCTAGATCTTTCGCCTCCTTTGCCCAGGGACCACCTGCCACCAAAATCATCCCCTCTCATACGGTCATCCTCTGACTCTCTTGTGAAGTTACTCTTTCTCCCTCCTTCATGTCTGCTTTGCCTCCAGTGTCCCCTCGCGTCCTAGAGAGTGTCGCTATCCACTCAGTTGCCTGGGCCACATTCCTGGACTTCTAAATTCTTGAACACCCTCCTTTCTTACCTTCTCCATCCAACCATGACCAGTCATCGTGACTCTCTGGGTAGGTCTCAACTCTGTTTACTTTCCTCTTTTGCTATTCCGGCGTAAAGCCACCAGTGTTTCTCCCCTAATTGCTTTCACCTCTGTCAGCTACATCTGATAGGTCCTTTCCAGTCCATTCCACACTAGCCAGAGTGGTCTTGTAAAGAGGCAAGTCTGATCATGGTGTCCTTGTTGAGGAACGTTTAGTGACACAACTTGGCTGTCAGGAGAAAATGTCGGTGTCATGATGTGCTCTGACTTCCCCCACCATCCTCACGGATGCCACTGCTTATGCCTGCTCCTTCCTGATCCCTTGCCTCCTTCCCTGCCTGACTTCTGCTACTTCGCCTTTAAGCTCGGGCAGATCTCCTCCTCCCCCTCTGTCCCCTGTTCTTTGCGCACGGCACCATGATCCCACTGTAGGATGTATCCCTATACATGGTTATGTCCCATTTATGTTTCATTTCCCCCCCAGACTGTAAATTCCTTGAGCGCAGGAGTGATGCCTTGCTTTCCCTTGTGCCTACGTTAGTGTCCAGGAAATGCTTGATAAACATTTGCTTAATGAGCAAGTGAAGACTTACAAAGGCCAGATGACCAGTGACAATGAAGAAGGAGAAGGTGGGGGAGCATGCACGAGCTAATAAAAAAATCACAGATTACATTGTTGATTGTGTGCCATGTGATCATGTTTCTCCTCCCTTACCATTATTTTGAAAATAGAATTAAAGTAATTCTCTGGGAGAATTATTTACAAACCATCGATCTGACTAAGGTAGAACATGAAACAAAACCAAAGACTACTTATTAGATCAACACACCCTTTTCCAAACAAAAAACAGCTCTCAGGGTTATTCTGATATATTTGTTACTCTTTAACCAGACAGTCCAGACCCATTCTCTAAAAATCACAGTGTAAGACTCCATGTGTGTTTCTGTGTGTTTAAGGTAGCATCTATAAGGTGTAATATGAACATGGGTTATATATTTCTGTATAATCTAGATTAAAAGCCAAAGAAAGTAATAATGATGAGCCTTTGATTCTGAGTTGGTCACACCACATAATCATGCATTTGATTTGAGTAGATATAAAAACAGAACTTGAAGTCTTCCATTTTGTCCACTGTCCAGTGTGTTTGGAATGTCTAGCCATGGCTTACAACATACTTTGCCTATAAAAATGAAATAATTTATATTGCCAGCTAGTGCATATTCAAGGAATACTAATTTTCCTGGTTTTTATTCTTGAATTGAATACACACGTCCTTGAGAAATTTGAAACTTATCCAAAAGCCTTATGATGGCTGAGAAGATCTATTCTTAAATTAGCAACGAGATATGCTCACTTTGAGCTAATGGGGTATTTAGTATGAATTATTTTTGGAGGCACATTGTTTTGCATCATGGTTACGTAAACTGTGTCTTTCTTAATTACATTTAAACAAATGCATAAAGGGCTTATCATGCTATGCTTTAAGATACACTGACTGAATATTTTGAGGTGAACTTGAAAACTCACCAAGTCTTTCTTTGGCAGGGCAAATATATGGATATTGAATTCGATTTTAAAGGCGATCCCCTGGGAGGAGTGATAAGTAACTGTGAGTATTTTAAAGAAGTTCAGAATAGTAAAACATATATTTATAACAGAATATTTTAGATACTTGGGTCTTTAAGAGATAGGCTTAAGAATGCATTTCCTTTTCTTATACTTAAATTTTTAACCTATGCATTTCAGATTGTTTTATAATATTTAATTTCTAAACCTTTTTAAAAGATCACTTAAAGTCTTTGCCTTTGAAAAACTTTTTAGAAGTCTGCTAAAGAAATAAATATTAGCCCAACTGTATTTTATATCCTATAGGTCTTCAAGCCAATCCAGTAATAAAAAAGATTCTCCAACCGTTATTTTCTTTAACAAAATTACTCTGTGGTTAAAAACAAAATATAAATAATAATTGATTTTAAATTAATGACTTTTGGGGTAACAGTTACCCGATAAAATGAGAAAAACCTGTACTTCAAATTTTACTGTGAGAATTTTGTCTTCAGTGTTTAAAAAATTGAAATGTCGTACACCTGTTAGGTAGAGACAGATTTATTAGCTTTCTTTAGTCATGATTTGTGATTGCAGAAGTGAAATGTTCTCCGGCAAAGGTGAAAAAATGAACAAAATCAGGTGAGGTCTACTTAACAGCCCCAGGCCCAGAGTTTTCTCAAGTGGGCACAGTGGTCAGTATCTGTTGTAGGTAAGGCCCCTTCATCCATGCTTGGGGGCTTCAGTGCATGTGGCACCGCCCTGATGTCTCTGCTCCTGTTGATTCTGTAGCTGATTCGTTTGGCAAGGATACGATGACCACTCAGGGTTAGTGCACCTCCAGGGGAAGCTGCAGCCTGGTTATCCTCTTGTTTTTTTTGAGGGCCGCACTGCTGACGCACCCCCCCCACACACACACTGCTTCCCCTGGCCTTTTCACCACCCTAAGATGCTGTTCGGATTGTTGGAATGAAAAAAATCTAAGTTTGTACTAGATTAAAAAATAACAATTGGCTCAGGTATCCAAAGCACTGCTTTTTGCTATAGCAGTGGCATTCTTTCTCCAAATGAAATTTTATTCCAAATATGAAACAGATGAAATGAGGCCTGATCTGGTTAAAGAGGAGATGAGCAGCAAGAACCCCTAGACCCCCGGGTGGCCCCTGTGATCTTCCAGAGAAACTCTAGAACCAGAGGGATGCCATTTGAAAGTGAGTGTTTTTAGAATTTGGGCAAACCATGCAGCTGAATTTTTAAAAAAAATTTTTAAATCATAGTTCGTAGAGTAAACTTCTAGGTCTAGAGTCTTTATCTTGGAAACTATAGGATTGAACTGGATGAATTCCATGGTTCCCCATTTCTACCATTTGTAGTTTTTAAATAGTTTATTTATTTTTTTGGCTGCGTTGGGTCTTTGTTGCTGCACGCGGGCTTTCTCTAGTTGTGGCGAGTGGGATCTACTCTTCGTTGCGGTGCACAGGCTTCTCATTGTGGTGGCTTCTCTTGTTGCGGAGCACGGGCTCTGGGCGTGCAGGCTCGGTGGTTGTGGCTCGCGGGCTGTAGAGTGCAGGCTCAGTAGTTGTGGCACACGGGCTTAGTTGCTCTGTGGCATGTGGGATCTTCCCGGACCAGGGCTCGAACCCGTGTCCCCTGCATTGGCAGGCAGATTCTTAACCACTGAACCACCTGGGAAGTACGGCAGGCGGATTCTTAACCATTGGGATTATACGTATTGTAAAAATGTATTATTATTGGAAAAACGTCTTGAAGAGGAAGTTTTAATCTGAGGTGAAATTGGCTAGGATGGTACTACTTATGTTAAATGGTTTTAACTGTCAAATAGGAAACAGAAATACTCATGCGAATCATATATAATACCACCAAAAGCAAGTGATTATAACCCTGCCAAGTTTGTTACGCAAGCTTCCTTCACAGTATGTGGCAGCTGACGAGAGCTGTATAGGAAAAGGTATGCCTCAGTTTTAAGACCACCATTTTAAGGAAAGGTTAGCTTTTATTCTGAAAGATATTTATAACACTTTTATAACACTTGCATTTTACAAGACAAATTAAATTTAGTTATTAATTGAGTAATACACTATTTTTAAAATGAGGCTACATTAACTTTGTATTATAGAACATTCTAGAATGATTGAACCAATATTACTCTTGAGGACTCTAGGAAAATATTTAAGGATGCCTTTATTCTAAGTATCAGAAAATAACTTGGGTTTTACATTTTGAAGTTTCAAGTTTCAAACAGAAATGTCTTCCTGTCTCTAATTCTTGCAGTATCCATGGAGAATAAATAGTAAACACCCAGTTCATTTCCAGTGAAGATTAAAAACCATCATGAATGAACGTCATATGGTTTTTGTTACCATTTGTTCCCACAATGAAATTATATTGAAATTTGTGGTAGTGGGAACACCCTGGTATTTTAGAGTATCCTTTGCTTTGGAAAGGAAAGGGATACATTAGTGGTGAGAGCAGGAAATTTCACCCCGAATAGAGAGAGAGGACTGACTCATAGGTGGCCACGGGGAGCTGCTGCCTGCTGGCTTGAGCGGGTATAAAGCAATGGGTAAACCCACTCTTGTTCTCTGCAAGCTGCCAACAGTTAGCTTCTTGTACCCAGAAAAGGAGACAAGATTTGCCATTTTGTAGGTCATCTATTTTGTTTCCTTTTCCAGCAGCTGCCTAGTAAAAGCATAGGTCGTTGTTGGCTGTAATTATTACCTTGAAAAAGTCACAGGATCATTTGAGCCAGTTGTGTACCCAGGAAGTGGGGAAAAAATGCCCAGTAACTTAGTCTCTCTTCCTCTCTTTCTAAGAGAGGTATGCTGTAAAACCTAAGTCTTGAACTCATTTGAAAGCTATGTATCTCTGAGGTTAGTATCATTAGGAGAGTTTTGAAAGCTACATATCTCTGAGGTTAGTATCATTAGGAGTGAAGTGTTACAAAAATAGAAAATGTCAAACATTTACTTAAGTAGAGAAGATAAAACATGGAAACACATCCAGATGTTTGGCTGATGTGAGGTACTATTTCTCCTACTTTGTTAATGCGTGTGGGTCTCATAAAATTTATACATTTACATTTGAGGATTTTGGATCTAGTGTTATGAACTTGAAATGCTTGGAAACCTGTTGCTTTTATTAATAGTCACAGATACTTTCTTTTTTTTTTTTTTAAACATCTTTATTGGGGTATAATTGCTTTACAATGGTGTGTTAGTTTCTGCTTTATAACAAAGTGAATCAGCTATACATATACATATGTTTCCATATGTCTTCCCTCTTGCGTCTCCCTCCCTCCCACTCTCCCTATCGCACCCCTCCAGGCTGTCACAAAGCACCGAGCTAATATCCCTGTGCCTTGCGGCTGCTTCCCCCTAGCTATCTACCTTACTACGTTTGTTAGTGTGTATATGTCCATGACTCTCTCTCGCCCTGTCAAAGCTCACCCTTCCCCCTCCCCATATCCTCAAGTCCGTTCTCCAGTAGGTCTGCGTCTTTATTCCTGTCTTACCCCTAGGTTCTTCATGACATTTTTTTCCCCTTAAATTCCATACATATGTGTTAGCATACGGTATTTGTCTTTTTCTTTCTGACTTACTTCACTCTGTATGACAGACTCTAGGTCTATCCATCTCATTACAAATAGCTCAATTTCATTTCTTTTTAAGGCTGAGTAACATTCCATTGTATATATGTGCCACATCTTCTTTATCCATTCATCCGATGATGGGCGCTTAGGTTGTTTCCATCTCCGGGCTGTTGTAAATAGAGCTGCAATGAACATTTTGGTACATGACTCTTTTTGAACTATGGTTTTCTCAGGGTATATGCCCAGTAGTGGGATTGCTGGGTCATATGGTAATTCTATTTGTAGTTTTTTAAGGAACCTCCATACTGTTCTCCATAGTGGCTGAACCAATTCACATTCCCACCAGCAGTGCAAGAGGGTTCGCTTTTCTCCACACCCTCTCCAGCATTTATTGTTTCTAGATTTTTTGATGATGGCCATTCTGACTGGTGTGAGATGATATCTCATTGTAGTTTTGATTTGCATTTCTCTAATGATTAATGATGTTGAGCATTCTTTCATGTGTTTGTTGGCATTCTGTATATCTTCTTTGGAGAAATGTCTATTTAGGTCTTCTGCCCATTTTTGGATTGGGTTGTTTGTTTTTTTGTTACTGAGCTGCATGAGCTGCTTGTAAATTTTGGAGATTAATCCTTTGTCAGTTGCTTCATTTGCAAATATTTTCTCCCATTCTGAGGGTTGTCTTTTGGTCTTGATTATGGTTTCCTTTGTTGTGCAAAAGCTTTGAAGTTTCATTAGGTCCCATTTGTTTATTTTTGGTTTTATTTCCATTACTGTAGGAGGTGGGTCAGAAAGGATCTTGCTGTGATTTATGTCATAGAGTGTTCTGCCTATGTTTTCCTCTAAGAGTTTGATAGTTTGTGGCCTTACATTTAGGTCTTTAATCCATTTTGAGCTTATTTTTGTGTATGGTGTTAGGGAGTGATCTAATCTCATACTTTTACATGTACCTGTCCAGTTTTCCCAGCACCACTTATTGAAGAGGCTGTCCTTTCTCCATTGTACATTCCTGCCACCTTTATCAAAGATAAGGTGTCCATATGTGCGTGGGTTTATCCCTGGGCTTTCTATCCTGTTCCATTGATCTGTCTTTCTGTTTTTGTGCCAGTACCATACTGTCTTGATTACTGTAGCTTTGTAGTATAGTCTGAAGTCAGGGAGCCTGATTCCTCCAGCTCCTTTTTTCGTTCTCAAGATTGCTTTGGCTATTCGGGGTCTTTTGTGTTTCCATACAAATTGCGAAATTTTTTGTTCTAGTTCTGTGAAAAATACCAGTGGTAGTTTGATAGGGATTACATTGAATCTGTAGATTGCTTTGGGTAGTAGAGTCATTTTCACAATGTTGATTCTTCCCATCCAGGAACATGGTATATCTCTCCATCTATTTGTATCATCTTTAATTTCTTTCATCAGTGTCTTATAATTTTCTGCATACAGGTCTTTCGTCTCCTTAG